CTGATGAGACTGAGGTTGAACTGTCTGAAGAACATGGCAGCACTATGTGTGGTGTAAAAAGGGCTCTGCACACCAGTCAGAACCCAGACCTGAATCCAGTAGAGATGCTGAACTCAGAGAGCCGCTCACACCAGACATCCAGAGAATCTGTCTGACTGAAGCAGCTCTGTAGGAAGAATGGTCCAAACTTCCTCCTGAACATTGAGCAGCTCTGATCAGCAGCTACTGAAGAGCTGGTTTCAGAGGAGCCTCAACCAGTTATTAAATCCAAGCCTCACTGACTATTTCCATCAGCACTGTAAATGTTTAATGGCTGTTTTCAATGAAGACAAAAAAGGTTGTAATTGATTGTGATATCAGCTATAGGCTATTAAAATGAATGGTGGAGATCTGAGCTCATATTCACCAAGCATCTTAAGGCTAAAAGTAGTTCCTAACTTGCTGATTTAGGAGAAACTCCTAAAACTAATGGGCGTGTCAGTCCTACCTTTAATTTCACTAAGAGTAATTCACAAAGCCACTTAGCGCAAAAAGTAGCTCCTAAGTCTGGGAGAAGTTAGAGGCAGTCGAGAGGACTCCTAACTCACTCAGACCAAATCACAAAGAATCTTAAAGGGCTGCTGCCATTCTACGTCACAGTGTTCTGGAAACCTTACATGATGCTGAATTACTTAAAAGATACGACTCAATCACGAGGGAATAATGATCGTTGTGGAGTTTGTGAAGGATTAAATAACATCTCCTACCAACCGAAACAACCCGTGGACATTAAGTGTTTGGCAACACTGCGTTACTTGGCAACAGAGAAAAGCCGATCTATCCACCAAACAATAAATGCGCTGTGACCCGACATCATAGCACAATTCATACGATTTCCTTTCTATGTTCAACAGCTACAGAGAAATAAAGCAGCTCCATGCCAATAGCCGGTAGGCCTGCTGTGATCTGTGCAAGAGATGGAACGCATGTAAAAATGATTGCACCACCAAAGGAAGAGGAGGTATTTGTAAATAGGAAAACAAAATCACATCATCAACACACAGGTTGTGTTGATGCTGCCTGTACAGTTCTAGACTTTGTTGTACAGTGTCCAGGATCTACACAAGAGTCATGAATCTTAATGGAGAGTGACCTGATCAGCTGTTTGAAAGGATCATGTTCCAGCTGGATGTCACCTGGTGGGGGAAGGTGGAAATCTTCACACACCTCAACCCACAGCCGGGACCACAGCTACAGTAGGCTACAACAGGCCAGTTAGCTTTAGTTAGGCAGTCTAGGACAGGTTTGTTTTTTTTTGTTTCCATTGAGAGAATTGAATGTAAGTTTTTATATTAAAATTAAATTCTCCCGGGTCGACACAAACCTAATCATACAGATGCATTGTGGAGAATGCACTACTTTTGTAAACAGCACCTAATCTGTTATAATTTCATTTGTATTCGTTTATTTCTCTGTGTTTTTTAAATCATTACTGCGGGATGTTGCGCATGCGTTTTCACCGGCACAGGCAGTCTTTCATCAACCAATCTGCTGCAAGGGAACTCGTCCATGAAAATTGACGTCAGCCATAGCAACGGAGTCGCACTCTTGGCTTAAGAGTTTTTTCCTTACTAAAAGTTGGTCTCAGCAGCTTTGTGAAGAGGACTTAGGAGAAAACTTTTAGTTAAAAACGTTTAGCGTGACTTAGGAGTACTCTTAGTGGTAAGATAAAATACTTTGTGAATACAGGCCCTGGTTTTCTGCATTAACTGGTCAGTATTCTGCATTCACATTTTATCTTACCACTAAGAGTACTCCTAAGTCACGCTAAACGTTTTCAACTGTTTCAGTTGGTGGGAGATGTTTTTGCATCCCTCACAAACTCGATAACAATCATTATTCCCTTGTGATTGAGTTGTATCTTTTCAGCATTGTGTAAGGTTTCCAGAACACTGCAACATGAAATGACAGCAGCTCTTTTAAGATTCTTTGTGATTTGGTGTTAGTGAATTAGGATTCCTCTCGACTGCCTCTAACTTCATCCAGACTTAGGAGCTAGTTTTTGCGCTGAGTGGCTTTGTGAATAGCTTTTAGTAACAATAAATAGGAGTCCTAAAGCTAGAACTGACACGTCCATTATCTTTAGGAGCTTCTTCTAAATCGGTAAGAATTTGTGAATACAGGCCCTGGTCATTCCAAAGAGTTCACTGACTTTTTCTTGTCACTATATATGTGACGGGTCATATTGTGTGATATGCAGCTTCACACTACTGTCGCTTCTACGGACCACAGACGATGACCAGGTGGATTATGGGGTGTTTATTACACACAGTTCCTTCCTGCAACACAGCATACAGCACGGCAATGGCATGTGAAACTATCATCGATCTCAGGATAATCACAGTGAAGTCCTCTTTTCTCTGTTTAGTTCAATAAACAATAAAATAAAAACAAAAATTACATCCTAGTGTGATCGTATAGTGTATATTGTTATTTCACAAGCATAAGTACAAACCCCCCACATAATCCATTATGTGACATAAAATTGATTTTAAGAACACTTTCAACATTTACCATGAGGTAAGTATAGAAATACACTAAATTTAGATGAATGAGTATTAACCCTTTAGCTGAACAGGTGGCAGCTCACACAGGCAAAATATACAATAAAATGTCATGAAAGGTAACATAACAAAATGCACAGCATATTGCCTGCAACACAGCATACAGCACAGCAATGGCATGTGAAACTATCATCGGTCTCAGGATAATCTGAACAACACATGGAACGAGGGTAAGCATTCAAGCTAGTTTAGCATCATTACAGTCTCCAAAAAGTAGCTCTATGGCTTAACAAATCACAGTAAGTGCTAAAAACAGTTAGCACAAATCTTACATCGTACATTACACAGCAAAATATAAAACATGAACACCTGAAACCTTTAACAAAATCATTGATTATCCCGGACCATGCAAGAGGACATCTTACCACAGTGAAGTCCTCTTTCCTTTCCTCTGTTCAGTTCCCACGCCAACCACTGCGCCAATAGATGGCAGTGTTGCACCTTTTTTTGCCATAATTTACAAAGCACAAATCTACTCCCTTACATATATTAACTGGTTTTTGCAGTCAGATTGACAAACTAATTTGAATTCAAAATCCTCTTCTCTCTTGGTCTTCATTAGCAGAAAGAGCCTCCTGAAGACTGAGACACAGTTGAAAGATCCAGAAGAAAGCTAGAAAGTTGGTTTTGAGTTAAGTTTATTGCCCAAGGAAAATTATTATTATTATCAAAGGATACTATTTTCAAAAGAGTTTTCATGTTCAACTTTCATGTTCATTTTTTTTATTTCTTCAATGAGTTTTAACAGATCTATATCTACTTTAACATGTATAAATAACTTTTTCAGTTATGAACTGAATCTTTCAATTATTTACATCCATGTAAATATTTTTGTAAAATACTTAGATACAGACAGGTAATTCCATACTGAAATATAATGTATGACACATAAGTCCCTATATAAATATATGTCATCTATAAGGAGATATATTATTATCACATATATACATCCTCTGGATAAATGAAGATACAAGTTTACAACTTACTGTATATGAAATACCCATAGTAAAATTTGTGTATTTACATATATCAGAAATATGTATATAATTATTTTTTTACAAGGTGTAACATGTTGCGACCATACATGTTAAAGATACATATTTAATTTATATATGAAAGTTTATTAAAGCAACATACATATAAAAATACTGTATACTCATGTATGTTTTTCTTATGAATTTCTCATTAATTTTAAACATGTCTAACTTCAAAGTCTGGGAAAGTGGTATCAGACTTTTGAGTCTACTGTATATAACATCAACATATATTGACAGGTTTAAGGACGGATATGTATTTATGTAACATGTCTACAATATAAACATACATATATAAACATACATATTTGTATGGGCTGTATTTATATGTCAATATAGGAAATTGTTTCATTTACTTAAAGGTTTTATATATAATTTTTAAACATGTATATGTTTTATATGTACCTATATTTTACACATTCAATATATGAACATGCATAGGCTATGCAGAGGGCAGCAGATATTTAATACTGTACTGCAAGTGTACCTTAATATCTGCTGTGTGTAGAGTTTCCCTAGGGGCTTGTAGCTTTGAGCTTCTGTTGAAAAATGTATTTTTTGGATTATTAAGGATAAACACAAAATATGAAAATTAATATTTCCTAATCAATCTCATTATATTTTTTGCTTTAAGTTTTACATTCATAAATGAAAATTTGCTGAAATTAAACCTCACTTTCATGTTTTCAACACAGAAATGGAGCTATAGCTATAGTAAGACAATAACTTGGACAAAACCAAAAAACTATTAAAACTATGAAATTGTGCTCCCATTTTAATGTTTTCATTTAAGTTACTTTCTATTTATCTTAACCCCTGACATTTTTTTCATATTTTTTTATATGCTGTTGTGGTCCTTTGTCCTATTGATTATGTGAAATATTTGAAATAAAGAAATAAAAAAAGACCCCCAGGGGTCCCAGAGAAGGTCGTCCTCCCACCGTTAGGTGGCAGTAAGTCCTGTTGAAAAGAGCTGAACATAAAAGAACCCAGACTGTAGGTAAAGATTTAGACAAAAAATTGGTTTTATTTCAAACTAAAGCTCGTGAAAATTTCAGTGCAAATACAACATCATGAATCATTTAATATAATTTATAAATGTAATAGTTTGTGACATTCAGATTTGACACCACAACATGTATTTTTGTTTAGTTATTTCTTTTCCTTTGTTCAGTTTTGTTTAACGCTATGTTGAATTACTGTATATTTTATATTTATTTTTATGGCTTGTAAGAAACTAACTTTCAACATTATGCTCAGCAATAATAAAGACAGTATTGTAGCGGATGTTACATAGAGAGGAAAGGTTCGTCCTCATGTGATTAGTGGGTGTGTGTTGTCTTCCCCCCTCATTCAGTGCGACGTTTTATTAAAGTTGTAAGATGGCGACGGTGCATCTAAGGATCGGGGACCTAGTGTGGTGAGATAACCTTTAAACACTGTTAAACGCTTTCGTTGCCGCTGCATGAACCTGCATTGCCTGCAGAAGTATTGTATTAGTTGGTTTAACGCAAATGTTTCTTGTTGGTGTTAACCACATGTAATTAATTTAAGTGTTTTCGTACTAGGTTAGTTGATAGTCAACCCAAACAAATTGCTAACCAAGCTGACTCAGCCAACAGCTGTCGTTAGCTGCTAGCGGACAAGCTACAGGAAAGGTTGAGACTTAAGGGAGATAGTTTTTCCGGAAACAAACCTGTCTGTTATTAGGTATAAGTTTCAATTCTTCACGACGACGTGTTGAGTAAAGCTTCCATTAAATACTTTAAATTTTGTAATTTTGTGACATGTTGTGGTTGTGACGAGCTTTGCTAGCTCTGTAGCTTAAGCGGATTTCTACTGGAGGTGGATTCGCATCTGCTCGGCTTCCGTGTTAACTGTGGCCGCTCTTTCTCCCGTTTACCTCTTTGGATTTGCATGTTTTCCTCAGAGGCTGAATTTTGGTCAGTATAATCCACATATGTGGCTTATTTGTGTGTAGAGGGTTAGGGTTACTTCAAACTGGTCGTCTCATGTCGCTTTGTAGCACTAGTTTCATGATGGTATTATCAACATTACAAAATATACTACAGAGAAAGTGGGACAGGGTGCCTCTTATATAAGGAATACGCATAACAACAATGTTGCCCATCTGTGTCTTTAAACTGGATTAATCGACCAATTCCAAAAACGTTACACAGCAATTTTTTGTTTTCTCTAGTTACATGTTTTAGTCGCCAGCTGCTTTGAATATCGTGTTATTAAGCATGTCAGACTTCATACTGACACGTGGCTACTGCTAAATAATATTTAACAGTAGTAGTAGCTAATAGTCTTCAACTGAAAGCATCTGACAGACTATGAAATTAGGTAATGTGGCAAGAGGAAATGTTAGTACAACATATGAGGACATAACAGCAAACTAAGACAAGAAGATTGGATCAAGTAGAACCCTATAGACTGACTGAAAAACACCAGGGGATGATAATCATTTATAAACACAACATCAAAATTAAACATCAGGAGCCTCACAGAGCAACACTGCACCTCCACTGTGTTATGCTGAAGGATTTTTGCTATTTTGTCCTGGCTCTAGTCCAGTAGTGTAATACAACTGACTGGTTTTGTAGTTCTGCTTTTTTAAGCCACTACTTGCAGTCTTACATTGTCACAACCAAGAGAAAGTAGAACTGGGTATTCATGGAAATGTCTGTTAAAGTGCTGATAACTGAGATTTGGCACAGCTTTCATTCAGCAAAAGAAATAAAGTTCCCAGAAGTCAAATGTTGTTTGAATACAAGCAGCTGTACTGGAACCTTTTAATAATCTTTTGATTTCATCAGAAACTGGCCTATCAAAGAACAAAACTCTGACCAGACAATTGATGGCATCTTTCTGGACTTAATCATTTTCAATAATCAGTACTTTGAATGCATTTGGTACAAAATATGTACTGAGGTCCAACACCAGCAAGACATACACCAAGGCTAAACATATCACTCTTATTTCAGGGGGAAGCTCGGTCGTTACCCACCATGGCCAGGAAAGGTAAGAAGTGAAGACATGTCAGTGGCTGGTTCAATTACATTCTTCTATTTGCATGACAGTTCTTATGCTAATATAGCTCTATAACCCATTTCATCAAATTTCAGATAGTAAGCCCTCCAAAGGACCTGAAAAAGCCCAGGGGCAAAAAATGCCACTTTGTGAAATTCTTTGGAACTGAAGACCAGTAAGTTTGCAGTGTAAGGTTTCTGTCTTGACTGACCTCACAATACCTCCTCCAACAAATGTTTAAGGGCTGTGTTTGTGTGTCTGTCCAGTGCCTGGATCAAAGTAGAACAGCTGAAGCCCTACCACGCTCACAAAGAGGAGATGATCAAGATAAACAAAGGGAAACGCTTCCAGCAGGCAGTCGATGCAGTCGAAGACTTCCTAAAGAAAGCAAAGGGAAAAGAACAGGTGAGGGGGTCGTTTTTGAACAATTAATCCAGCACATTGTAATGGATCTTGCTTTTATAAAAAGTTTTTATTTATTCTCATTGTCTTTTGGTTCTTCTATAAGTTGTTGGTTTTTGTTGACATGCACCTAAGACATGAATTTCAGGCTACGTCAGCACTACTACGTTTGCATTTGAAAACAATCTCCGTCCAGACGAGCGTTTTAGCTTTGTATCAGAAATGATCTCTGTCCAGACTAACACACCTGAAAACACACATACGTGACCATTAGTGTGCGCTGAGCATGCGCATGCCAATGTAAACAGAAAGCAGATTCTCTACTCTGCTGTTGGTTAGATGCAGGAAATACTATGAATGAAGAACAACAAAGACAGTTTCAGCTTTAAAATGCAGATTTTAACTGAACAGCTGCTAGCAAAGACAACAAGGTCAGTAAGACTTGTAATTCATTATCCATGTCACATCTACCACTGGCAGTTATGATTGATAAGATCCAATCGTGGAGCAACTGTTGGTGTCTATGTCATTGTTTCCAAAGTTTACTGATTGAGTATGTATAACATTTAATTCACAAACTAACTCTTGGAAAACACCAGGCATCACATTTTGATGAGATGTAACTGTCTCTCTTAATTTCACATTAGAGTTTTATGATGGGGAATCATGAATGTGTCACTGAACTAATTTAAGAAAAATCTGCATTTTTTGGTAAATTCATTCTTTCAGACAGGTTGTCTGGTTGTTGTATATCACTTTAATGTAAAATGTAGAATTATATCTTTTCAGTATATAGTTTCAGTAATGAGGTACAATAATATTCATGATTTTTGTAAAAGCATACTAACCTAAAAACCTTTTTATGAGAAATTCGCAGAGTGACAGAGATACAGAGTGTCGTGGTAACCATAGTAACTCACTCACACACCTGTCTGTGTGTACAGAATGGGAATAAATGGCAATAACGGATTTATGGATATTTCTCACTTTGTCCTGATGGTCTGCAGATCTCTGTTTCTCTGTCTTGTCTGTCTGTGCGCTGTCGGCGTCTTATCACCCTGTGACCTTAAACTCACCACTGAACAAAATGATTTTACCAAGTGTCTAATTGTGCTCTCCGTGCTACTAGAGACTGTGTATGCTACTCACATGCTATTAGATTTACTGGGAGATTTAGAAAATATTAGTGTGATATACAATCTTATATTGACAAAGACGGAGCTCAGCCCCCCGGCCCAATTTAACCCCCGGCTCTATTATAGGCAGAGCTGAATTTGATGACGATTTTGTTCTCCTCTTGAAAAGAAGAGGGGAGGGGCAAAGTCCTGGCAGGAGTTTAAACTTGAATTGCGTTTACTTAAATTTAAATTTATTGCGTTTAAACTAACAAGTTTAAAGTTGTCTACAATGAATGGGTCACATTGCTTACACTATGCACACAACATTGCTATCATACCACAACCATGGGTACTGAGTTAGCCCAGTGTCTCTGTCTGTCCATGTCTGCACATGTATTCTGATGAAAGGTCAGGTAGTCAGACCGACTGAGCCGGTGAAGGAGAAAAAAAATGTTCAACTACAACGCAGTACATGCAGGGCACAAAAACAGCCTAATGAATAACGATCATGGCATGGCCATGTTTAATTTTAACTCACACACTCACAAAAAATAGTTGCATATGTGTCGCAGTCTGGAGCCCTGCAATGTCTGCTAAAAATTATCAGCATTGGCCAATCTCACTCATAGATGATCGGTATCAGTATTGGTGGCAAAAAAAAATGTGATCAGGGCATCCCTAGGCGTTAGTTTGTTCAGGCGGACACATGGTCTCTGTCTAGGTCATCTACCCACCAGAATCAGTGGATTCAACCCTGGGGGAAACAGTTTTCTCTTTTGCTCTGTCAACGTTTATTGTAAAGCCATCCTGAATTCAGAAAGTTATCCTTCAGCTCTCTTGACAGTTTAAACGGCTGCACTAAATAATAGTCTGTTTTTGACAGAACTCAGATGGCAAAGGAGACTCAAAAGGAAAGAAGACACCGAACAAGCCTCTGAAAATACTGGAGGAGGATGATGAAGATCTCAGTGCCCTGAAGGACCCCTCTGAGAAGGTCAGTTGGTCACTCACAAGTTCAAACATTAGTCAAATATATGTTTACTCAATGTACAGTATTTAGAAAAGAAAAAGAGAGAACACAGGGAGAAGTGAAGAGATGGAGATTCACTTTATAGATTTATAGACTGTTAACAAGTTCTGACCCTCATTCTTCTCTCCTCAATGCATCGAGCCAGATCCTCTCACTGTCTGTGGGGAATGTTGATTTCAGAACACCCAGGCATTAGACTGACCCCTAAAACAATTTGGTGAAATTGTCTCCACTAAACCTGTAATGTATATTTTAGTGGCCTACAATTTTAAAGTGATCACATCTGTTAACTGAGGCTTCATGAGGACAGAAACATGCACAACGTTCCCCTCATGAGTCTAATACACACAATAATGGGGCATACAATTTTTAAAAAAAAAAAAAAAACCCTTATCCACAACATAATCATAGACAAATATAAATAACATAAATAAAAGAATTAAACAAGATTACAGAGTGATTTGAAGTTCTGGTCCACTGACTGGCCTGTGTCAGACCCAGTACTGTCCTTGTTTCCCCGTCAGCATATAAACTTGTATTTCTCATTCACATAAATCTGTAAGAAAACCACATCTTCCATCCTGTCCCAGGATCAGTTACTTCACTCACTCATAAGGGCGGTCCTGTGGTGTTTTAGTCTATCTGTTTATCTGCAGGTCTTGAAAAGTCTTGAATTCAATGAATTCAGATTCCCCAAAAAGGCCTTAGTAGGTGGTGTCACATTGAGCCACTGCAAGTGGGGTGGGGGGTGTGAATGCTGGGGAAGAATGTTTAACAGTCCCTTAAGTATGATTCATGTGGTGATATTAACAAATGGTAAATATAATGGGGCTCATTTTGTTTTAGTTTTAGTTTTTGCTGGGATGCATTGGCATTAAGACTTTCAGAACCAATGGATTAATCCATCCATCAATTTTCTGCTTCTTGGTCCAGGCCAAGTTAATTTCATTAGCTAATTAAGTCTATAATTAGGAATTATTGTTATGTTCTGCTAAGATGTACTGGGAAAAAATGGATATGATGATAAATAATTCTAGGCCATATCGTCCCAACTGGTTTTTCTTCATACTTTGGTCAGTATTAAATTACGTTCAATGTTGTAGTTATACCTAAGTGTAAGTTTAACTTGATGAATCCTGCAGACACCAAATTAAAATACAGCAGAGACATAAAAGGCCCACAGTAAATATCATCAAAATAATATCAGTACCATGACATAAAAGATCGGTTCACCCAAATTACAAAAAACTATTTTCTCTCCCATCTCAAGTGGTGTCTATCCATGCAGATCAGTTTGTGTGTTTTGTCCAGGTTTTGAGGTTCCTGTCTGTCTAAGATTTCTGCCTCCACCCTAACAAAGTGGAGGTCTCCTCCATCTGTGACAGAGAAATGTCCCCCACTACAGCAGACACCTTTGATTTAGAAGGTGAATGTGTGTCTCTCTCCTCCTTAAGGACTTAACTGACTCTGACCCCGAGCCATCCAGTATTGAGAGGCTGGGGGCTGGACCTGGCTCAGGATTCAAATGGGAAAGCAGTGTAGGTGAACCCCCCCTTCCCACCAAGCCTGCCTTGCCTTGCTGCTCTTCTACCTGACCTTAACCTTTGGCTTTAATCACCAACAACTGCAGACCTTTCCCTTCTGACCTTTTTTGGTGCTCACTCTTGACTACTGAAACTGTGTGTTTGCTGTGGTCACCAACTCTGTATGTGGAGGCCCAAAAGGAGGCGGAGGTTTGGTTGAGTTGACCCAGAAATGTGCAATTTCCTGGTTGGCTTCCTGCTTTCCATTAGCAGCCTGCTCCTCAGGACCAGGGTTGTTGACCACTTGTGAATAAAATGCTCTCAATCCGGTGTGATCACCAGGCTTGTGTTTGTGTGTGTAAAGAAACATTGCACCCCCAGATAAGAGATGAGTCATTAACTGGTCTTCTTTATGTCAGTGGAAACATTTTCACAACCATCAAACATGGTGAGTTGGATGGTAATGTTCTGTGAGCCCAAAAGGCCTAATTTTGCATCATTATACAAGAAGTAGTTATTCTTCATAGTGGAAACCGTGCACCCCCCTCCTCAATAACTTTCTTTGAATGTAGCTAATTAAACTCCCAACAGTAGAAGCTTGCACTGCCAGCTACTGCTCCTCTCAGCCTTCTTCATGGACTGTTCTTGTGTAAACAAAATTGGCACATTTTCTTGTTTCACCTATCTTTGTATGCAAAACTCAACCATTTCCTCCATCTAAAGTACTGCAGCAACTCATGCTCATATATTTGCTGCTTTAGAAATCTGGATCCAGTTAATTTAATTTTGGTTTCAAGACTGAAATGGATCTTTGAAATCGTGTCATTGTATTTTGGATTTGTACTAAGTTTACCAGTTTCCACTCACATTGGAAGAAGCAGACAGTGACCAGCTTTGTGGGTCGAACTGATCATTTTAATAGAAGTGCAAGTATTGGAATCAATACCGTCTGGTTTCCAAGGATTTGTGCTCAGCCACTCTCATATTTCTCCAAAATATGACCTCTTTTCACTTGATAACCCCACACTGAGATATTTTAAAAGATTACCATATACTTTTAAGTCACTTTCAGGTTTTGGCTGAAACAGTTACACAGTGATCAGTGTATAAATAAATGTAAAACGATCAGTCGTTCTATTCATTATATAAAGCACACACCAGTTGTGTCAGTTTCTGCACCTCTGGTTCTGTTGAATGGCAAACTGTTGCTCTCTGTTGGTGTGAGTGTTCTGAGACTACTGTATTTATTAATCCTGGATGAACTGTTCAGCAGTTGAACACCCATAGGGTCCTCATTGGTTTAATTAGCCTTTCATCATCAACAGTTCAGAGCACAATCACAAATTTGTGAGCAGAAACTGTAGAAAATCATGGACCACAATGGGAGCCCTGATGTGTCAGCACTGTGCAGTGTAGATTCAAGGGTTTCTGCACATTATGTTCTGTCAGGTCAATACATATCCATCTGCCATCTGCACAGAGAGAACTGTCCCACTGAACTCTTCTTCTGTTGCAGCCTGTGAAGGATGACCCACATTTCCATCACTTCCTACTCAGCCAGTCTGAGAAGGTAGGTACCTCTGAATCTTTTTAATGTTTCCTTCTCTGGTTCAGTTAGAGGAATGGATGTTATGTTGTCTGTCACCTCATTATATCAGATCTCATTAGATAGCCAGTTTGAGACTCTGTAGACGTGTGTGTCTCTGAATGTGTCAGTTTGGTTTCAGTTTGACCAGTAGAGTAAGAAGCTAATGTAGCACCTTGTGTTATCCTCTTCACTTCTGTCTCAACACACACAGGCTGTGTTTCTTGGAGGCAGTAGTGTTTCTCATGGCACAAATCACCCAATTTTTCAGTAGCATTTTTACAGTCAGCACTAAATGTCCCTAAGCGCAGGCCCACGTTTAATATTTAGCACTTCTGAAAAGTAATTTCAAGTCAAATCATAAAGGACAAAAATTTAAATACCAGTTATCACCAATATGTGACTGATCTGCATGTAGTGTTGTTTGTTAGTAACTGTGATTTCATAAAATGTTTACTACATAATTTTGTAATTACATAGTTTTGCTGAAGATACAGAGACTCTGATGTGAACTTGCAGTGTGAAGTGTGTAGAGTTTATTGATCATCTCTTGATTGTTTGCTCTCTCTCCACAGCCAGCGTCATCAATGGAACCCATTAGCAAGCGCCTGAAGATAATTGAAGAGGTGAAGTAACTGGTCAAAAATGTTTAAACTTAAATGGATTTATGTTAATACGAATGAATCTTTTTCCATGATGTGCTTTACATTTTAAACTATACTGTGTTGAATAACAAAATTTCAGCAGCAGGTTTTGTTCCTTACTGATGTATGTAGCAAACCTGGGTACAACTTGTCTCTTTGAGGATGATGTTGACTGTTGTTTTTGATTGTGCAGGACACAGGGTCAACATCTATCCAAGCAGCCGACAGCACAGCCATCAATGGCAGCATCACACCCACAGATAAAAGGTAGTAACAAAACCTCACTACAGCAGTGTTGAGCACCATTATCAGTTACTGATGAAATTCAGCTGGAGATGGATCAAAAGGTTGACACAGTGGATTGTTTTTACAGATTTATAACTTAATTTTGTTGTCATTTATCATGCATCAAAAGTGAGATGAATGTGACAATTTGTGTTCCTCCACGCCAGCTTCATGTGTGGGATACACATGTTTCTAATAGTTTTAGTCAGTTGGCAACACTTAGTTGTTTCACTGCATCACCTCTAACATTAGGAAATGATCGACAAGTCTTCCGGACCACATGTCAAAACAACTACTCATCAAAGCCTTATTGGGAATGACAACACATCCTTGTGTACGCAATTAAATGACATAAGTGGACATAAAAGCACAAAAGGATGAAATATATACCCTAATAACAATGGTAGCTTTGGATTTAAAATATGGTATATGGTATTTAGAGATCACGCAGATGTTTTGGACCCGTGATGATGGCCGACTTATCAGAGATTTAAGATTTCCTAGGGCAATCCTCTTGGAACTGTGCTGAGTTGGGTCCGGCTTTGGTGAGGTACAGGGTGAGGCGTTATTGCCTGTTCCCTTACGAGGGCTGAACACACTTGAGTTACACGGCAAAAATGGCATTTCAGAGAGAACAGGCAGACCAATCTGGACTGTGGCAGTCATCCTTGAGCCGCACAATGCCAGCTGTACAGGATGGAATCATCTGTATGTCAGCCAGGTTTATAAAGTTCCCATACAATGTGGTTGAACAGGCCGATATTACAGTGCAATTTGTGCAATAGCAGCCAGAGACGCTTCACACACACACACACACACACACACACACACACACACACACACACACACACACACACACACACACATTCTGCTAAAAGCACCATCAGAGGATGAATTTGCCTTTCAATAGAAAACATCTTCATTTCATAAAAGTGCAAAAATGACAGACTACTCGCTACTATCAAGGCGATTTGAGAAAAACTGTAAAATCAGCTCCTGACACAGGAGCACATATGCCCGAATTATATCATTGTCTTTAAAGCGTCTTTACTCCTCAGTGGTTTGAGCTAGAGACATGCCTGTTAAACTACAGAATCAGACCTTTCCAACAAGCTCCTGTTTGTCTGTGTGGGTCATTTACTTCCGTTGATAAACTATTGCGTAATGTTGGCAAAGATTTGGATAGTCTCACATTTTGCCTGGCACATTGCTTCATACCATCTGAGTGTCTATTGAAAACATCCTAACGGTGGATGTATAGTGTATGAAACAAACAAAATACTATTGTAAACATTTTTACTAATTTCAATCAAGAGAACGTGCATTAAGTTCCTTGTGCAGGACACGTCAGGCCCCACCGCATTAACAGCCTCTGCCACACTCCCACCTTGTTTGTTTTCTGTTGTTATTAATGCCAGAGTGCAGAATAAAACCTATTTATTTTGGACTCTACCTCTAAAAGCAATACCTCCTCTTCGTAAATGTCTCTTTGGCAACTTTCTGCTTGGTTTTGCCATTTTTCCTGATCCTGGAGAGAGGGGTATTCCAGGCATTTGTACTCATTAGCATATTAAATTTGGAGGGACAGAGGGTGGAGTGTGTTATTCATCCATGTGGGCTCAATTCCATGTTAATTGGGATGTACAAAGAAAATGTGCTTGCATCCTGCATGTGCACGGTCTACATACATCTGAATTTTTTGGTGCGTACGCATCTTTCCAGCTTTGTGCCCCAGGTCTTCAGCTGTCCAGTGTTGGTGAGTCTGTCCACTGCAGCCTCAGGAGGTGTAACCTGGCCTGGTCTTCTGCTGTTGAACGTTGGACGTGTTGTTCACTCTGAGGCTGTTCTGCTTAGCACAGTTGTAAAGAGTGGTTATCTGAGTGACCGTAGCCTTTCTGTCAGCTCCAACCAGTCTGTCCATTCTCTCTGACCTCTCTCATCAACACAGAGCTGCTGCTAACTGGAAGCTTTTGTTGTTGCTGCATTCTGAGTAAAAACTCTAGAGACTGTTGTGAGTCAAAATCCTGGAGATCAGCTCTTTGAGAAACACTCAGACCAACAATCATGTCTCAGTCAAAGTCACTCAGTCCCATTTTTACTCATTATGATGTTTGACCATTAACTGAAGCATCTAAGCAGGTGTACAGGTGTTCCTAATAAAGTGCTCCGTGAGTGTATATGAACGATGCTTTTTTTATTTCATCATTTGTTTGCTCATGTTTTGATTTGTTTGTTGATTCTTGCACTTTGCCTTCCAGGATAGGCTTCCTGGGTCTGGGGCTGATGGGTAGCGGTATAGTTTCTAACCTGCTGAAAATGGGTCACGTCGTCACAGTGTGGAATCGCACAGCAGAAAAGGTGCGTAATGCAACACACAGTCATGGTCAAACAGGAAACTGACGACACATCCAGTTACAGCAAATTATATGTTTAAAATGCCGTTGAGTTAGCATTGCTGTAATAATTTATAGTTTTTTTTTTTTTTTTTTTTTAAAGCAGTTGATGATAGACCATTAACTCATGACCACCCATTCACACAGACGTTTCACAAAGAGTGAGAAAAGTTTAGCTGCTGAAAGAAACAGTTAATTGTGGACAAGCACAGTGCAAGAAGAAATTTTGGGAGTGGAACATGTCAGATTTTTTTTTAACTGTGATATATTGTGTGCATGTATTCTATTGTGTGGATTGTGTTTCTTTTTTAACTTGCATGCACCAATCAGCAGTTGCACTCATTTTGTTGTATTTTAAATGCAATGAAAATAATGTTTTTTTTTATTCCAAGATGCATTTCCTCATGGAAACTGATTAAAATGTTATGTTAGAATGAATTTAGTTTAATAATTTTCAAAAGACAAGGTATTTACCAATTCCACAGTAAATTGTGTTTTCAAACAGGATCACATTTATTGTAGCAAAGGTGAACAACACTAATCTGACTATTAAAGGTTGGAGTTTGTGACCTCTGGTGATGCTATAGAGATTTTTTCATTAGTTGGGTGTCGTGTTGTTCATCTCGTACACAAGGACTCTCATATGCAGGGGTGATGCACATTCCTGCAAATGGTGTCACACATTTCCAGTGATCTGCTGATGGCAATAATGCAATAAATGAGGCTGCTTGCTGTTAAACATAGATGTAAGCAATGCAGGATTTACCATTTTTAACAAATCAACTTTACAAATGTTTTATGAGGAAGGAAATTAGTTGACACTTTTGCTGTGTGTCTTGGTGAGTAACTCTAAATTTAAACAACATGGAAACTCCATAAGGTAGCTTTAATAAAACTGTAGAATGGTCATGTAGGTGTGTGTTTTCTGCTAATGACTCCTGCCTGTTGTGCTCCAGTGTGACCTGTTCATCCAGGAGGGGGCCAGGTTAGGCCGGACTCCTGCAGAAGTGGCTTCCATGTGTGACATCACTTTCTCCTGTGTCTCTGACCCAAAGGCTGCCAGGGATGTGAGTATCATCTGATCTACAGTAAATTACTTCCTATTGAGGTGTGAGTAACGGGCTCATGGGTAAAAACTTCTCCATGTTTTTGTATCTGCTGCTATTCAGTTGGTGTTGGGACCCAGTGGAGTGCTGCAGGGAATCAGGCCAGGCAAATGCTACATAGAGATGTCCACTGTAGACCCAGAGACCATCACAGAACTCTCACAGGTATACACCAGTACACACACACACACACACACACTAAAGTAGCCACAATTTTTGAAAAAAAAAATATATTAAATCTATGTTTTAAATTATTTATTCAATTGGCAGGTGATCACGTCGCGGGGCGGTCGATTCCTGGAGGCTCCAGTGGCGGGAAGCCAGCAGCTCTCCAATGATGGGATGCTGGTCATCCTGGCAGCTGGAGACAGAACAGTCTACGAAGACTGCAGCAGCTGCTTCCAGGCCATGGGCAAGACCTCCTTCTTCCTGGGTATGTAGAGTGTAATGTGTATAGTCAGCCCAATGATACAGTGTACAGATGAAACAGGCTTCAGTGTTGATAGTGTGTCACGATTCTGGATTAAATTGGAATCACTGAGATCATGATTTTTTTTCAATATGAATATTAATTGCACTCATTTATCTAATACAGTCTGATATAGGACTGGCACGTCAGCTTTGGACAACAGAAAGGGAAGCCTCTTGTATTTAGCTTCAAAAGCTAAAGTACTTAAACGGCTTCATCAACCTGACACTGAACATAAAAACAATCAACTTCAGGATCTTGTCTCTTCTATTCACAACCTTTGTGGGTTGGATTAATTTTGTCATTTGTCCTTCCACAACTTTTCTCTCATGTTGTCATTTGCTGGTGTCTCTCACTGGGTTTATTTTCCTCACTGCTGGTTTCTGCTGCTCTGAACCAAGTGGTGTAACGATGCGATGTCATTTGTTGAGGGAAAAAGTAAGAATGTTTGTTTTGATGTAGCTGATGTCCTTGATGAAAATTGTTGTCATTTAGAAATTAGATCTTATAGAGTTTGAATGGAGATCATGATTTTAATAGGATTAAATGTGCAGCCCTGCTGTTGGATTGGATGGTGACAGTTGAGATTACATCGTTGCTTTTATGTGTCGGAACGGCACAGGTGAGCTGTGAGCTGTACGCTGCGCTGAGCATTGGTTCATGTTTGAGTGCGCAGGACATGACAAAAGCAGTGGCAAAGAGTGTGTGCACCTCTGTGTGTTCATGACAACAGAACATTGTTTGCACATACAGTTCTACTGTGAGTCCAGCATAATAGAGAGAAACTGAAACTGGTATCGATCCAATTGACGCTAAAGTCGATCTTCAAAAACAAAACATTATATCAAAAGTATTGATATTTTGGGATCGATCTGTCCACCCCTAAAAAAACACCCATGTCAATGTAACAAAAAAGACCTGTCATAACAATGATCCTTTGAAATCACAGATTCTCTGAGCGATCACTTGTCCCAGCTGTTGTATCAGCTTTGGTAGTTCAGAAGACCATCAGTATTGAATCACAACCATCCTCTGGTAAATGGACCTGTGTTGAACTAAAATCACAGCAGCCAACATGTTTGGACCTTAAATAGAAAATCTTACAATCTTAATCTTAAATTCAGACTCTGATCCTACCATAAGCTGCCTCAGCACAAATCCAGATCCATCAGACCAGGCTCTGTTTTTCCAGGCCTCATCTGCAACATTGCATGTATAAGCAGGTGTACAGCTGTTCCTAATAAAGTGCTTGGTGAGTATATATATCTCTGACATTTCAGATGAAAGTCTCACCTCTGGTTTCCAGTTTCTGTTCCTTTGTTCAGATTGCTCAACAAGCCAGATGATGCTCTCTGGTTTTCCATTATTCCAGGCCAACAGAAATTTAGGCACATAACAGTTTCAACACAGAGACTGCAACATGTTTCTCCTTTTATGTGTGTATAAAATATGTGTGTGTGTGTGTGTGTATGTGTGTGTGTGTGTGTGTGTGTGTGAGAAGGTGAAGCAGGGAATGCAGCAAGGATGATGCTGATCCTCAACATGGTACAGGGCAGCTTCATGGCCACCATTGCAGAAGGGCTCACTCTGGCCCAGGCCACTGGCCAATCACAGCAGACCTTCCTGGACATCCTGTGCCAGGGCCAGATGGCAAGCACCTTTGTGGACCAGAAATGCCAAAGTAAGTCAACACAAAGGAAGTTTAAAGTCATCTGTTTATTGATTTACCTGCACCTTGCTTATTAGTTGTTTTTATTCATTGTATTTATTTGTACATTTTCTCCTTTTAATCTTAAATGGTGACATGTTCAGCTTTTGGCCATAGAAAAATTGCTTATATTAACATTGTCAGACAGACAGTTTCAAACAAAATCTGTCCATCCATCCATTTTCAACCACGTAATCTGGGATCCAGTCATGGTCGCGGTAGCAGTGCACAGCTCTGGCTCTGGAAATAAAATTTCTGGAGAGGGGCTGGACTCTCTCCTTTTCTGGAGTTGCCCAGGGTGAGAGGGGCGGGGTGAATGTGGAGAGACTCACAAGGCAAGTAGGGGGAAGACTCTGACTGTTGTCTGTGCTTGTGCAATTTGGAGTATCAACTCTTCTTACAGTCTGCGGGTCAGGTCCTGTAAGGGGTATTACATAGAGACAGTTCTCCTGGGGGACTTGAACACCACGTGGGTAACACCTGGAAGTGAGTAAGTGGGAGGAACAGCCTGCCTGATCTAAACCCAAGTGGTGTTTTGTTGTTGAACTTTTGTGCTATTCATGGATTGGCTGTAACAAACACCATGTTCGAGGATGAGGTGATTCATAAGTGTACTTGGTGGCCTTAGGCCTCAGCTCAATGATGGATTATATCAGATCTGCGGCCATATGTCTCAGACACTCTGTGAAGAGTGGAGGAGAGGTGTCAACTGATCACCACTTGAGGAAGACAGCCTGGAAACATGAAGTCAGGGGGAGTTGGGAGCTTCTGCCTGTGGCCTATTGAGGTATTCCAGGCTCATCCAACTGGTACGAGACCCCGAGGTGGACCCAGAACACAATGGAGAGATTATATATCTCATCTGGACTGGGAACGCATCAGGATCCCCCAAGAGGAGCTGGAAAATATCCCTGGGAAAGAGGGACATCTGGACTACCTTGCTTGACCTGCCGCCACGACCCCCAACCCAAACTGAAAATATTGTACCTTTTTTAAAAAAAAAAAAAAAAAAAAATTGTTTTTTTTAATTCGCATTTATGATAACCTTCCTTCCTGTTTCTTCCAGATATTTTACAGGGCAACTTTAAGCCAGACTACTATTTGAAACATATTCAGAAGGATCTGAGGCTAGCTATCTCCATGGGCGACATGGCCAACCATCCAACCCCAATGGCTGCAGCTGCCAATGAGGTACTACTGTTTAATTTATTCATGTTTGCTTGTGTACACTTTTACGCCTCCATGCCAGCGACAGCCCGGACCAGAGGTTTTCAGGTTATCTGTCTGACACCATTCTCATGGACGCAATATCTCATTGACACCTTGAGAAACTTCTTCAAACTTGGTACAAACATTCACTTGGACTCAAGAACAAACTGATTAGATTTTGGTGGTGAAAGGTCAGAGGTCACTATGATTTCACAAAACACATTTTCAGCTATAACTCAGAAGTGATACGCAAGTTATAATTCATTTTAACACAAATGTTTAAAAGGATGAAATGGTGACATTTTACAACCCAAATGGTCAAAGGTCAACTTCACTGTGACATAATGTTCTGCAAAAACACATCTGGCCATTATTCAATGCTTTAACGCAGGAAGGGGAGATTGTGAGAGTGCAACTTGACTGGTTGTTGTAGGCCGTAATTCTAGTCTTCTCTGCTTGTGTTCTCGTTTTGTGCTTTTACCTGTGAATTTCACTACCTTACTACTGTCGACCATTTCTGTATATTTCATTAGGGTCGGTGACGGAAACCCAGATCCGAACTAGAACTGGTTCAAAAATGCCAAGAACCTGGTACCCGTTAAAAATAGAGAGATAGATAGTTTTGGTCCTGCTTATTAGTTCCTACATGTCTTTAAGGATGTACATAGGTATCTGCCAGGACCTGTCTCTGTGACTACATCATACAGTAATGTAACCATGTGTCCATTTGCGTAGACACAAGCTTGCATGCATAGCAGCAGATGATGGAGATCCTGGTGTGCCCCCGACAGCTCACAGTTTAGAATTTACTTAGCCTGTTAAGCCCTAGGGATGCTGGGGGTTATGCCTTGCCTAGACAGACATACTCAAAATAGATTATACATAGCACATAGCTCAACAACCATCAGGTCCATTTGCAAGAGCTTGGTCACTATGGATAGGTAAGACCTCAGAATTTATTCCATGTGTCAGAAACATTGTGACTGTTACTATAGCTGAGTAAATTGTGATAAACCAAAGGAAATATGTAATTATTTTCCTCTCCTAGAATTTATTTAAAAATTACACACTGGATAACACCATGATAACAATGGTCCCATGCGCTGGGATGACAGTGATTTCATTCAGCAACTTCATGACTACAACTGTAACAATGTATGTAGAAATACCACAAAGCATAAACTCTACAAAGGTTTTAGTAGGGACGGGGCCAGGCAGATGCTCCACTTGGACAAGGTACCCAAAGTGTGCCAAAGGTTTTTTTTTTTTTTTAACCTCTTGAAAGGAAATCTGGCTACAAAATACTAATGATTTCCACTACAGGAGGCTAAGTGCACACACAATACAACCCTTAGCCACTTCATGTGTATCATCAGATTCTACCATTGAGCACAGTGTGACATACCACTCGAAACCTCAGGAGATGTAGAGAAGGATAGCGCTGTGTGTTTAAACTGCAGTACCTCCAAACACGTGCCAGATGGCAACAGGCTTGGCGGGGGGGGGGTCTCTGCTGTCCAGGCCCCCATCTCTGCCGACTTGACAGGAAAATCGTATGGATAGACTCAAAATTACCAAGAAAGGGTAAGGAAACAATATCCTTTTGTTTGGATTAGAACCGCTTTGGGATTTAATGGAATATTTAGTCATAAACCCAAAATTTGACATGTGGACTATAAAATGAGAATTTTGGCCCCGTGTTTGCTTTGGGGCTGACATGAGCTGCTTAGCTCAGGCTACACTATGATTGCTATCAATGGAAAGAGTAGCTTCTCTAGTTTCATACGACACTCAGCATGGTGGGATGGAGTGAGTGGATTACATGTACTGTTGCATTTCATTTCGACTGTTTACATTGATAGGGGTCTTATTTTGAAACAGATATTGAAATTTTACAGGCAATTATGTATCGCACCATTCTGCCAGACAGGGTCTGTCGGGCTTAAGAGGTTAGTTAACTTTTATAAAAAAATTAGCTAGCATTAAACCAGCTGACACTAGACTGAAGCCAGCTGACACAAGACTGAATGCAAATAGGACACATGAATATGCTAATTAACATATTAAATTATCTAGCAACATTTAGCGATTATTTTCAAGCTGAATCCATAGTTTTCACACTTGACCATACACGGTCCAGACATGTACCGGGTTTTGACCTATGCTGTGTCAAGTGTGAGTACGGTCATACTCACACTTGCTGTTTTTAGGTGCATGAATGTGTTCACACTGACAAGAACGACAACATGCAGTGCAATATAAGCAGCCAGATGTTGCACTCAAAACAGTCCAAAAATTGAGTGTAAAACGCTGGACACTTCCCACCCTTAATGATCACCATATTGATGACCATTGAGGGTGGGAACATTGATTAAAATCAATGTTAATCAATTGTGATTAAAACTTTCCTTCAGCACCACCCTCACAGAAAATATCAAGGACAACGATATGGGAGATTGAGTATGACAGTGTGCATCGTCTCTGAAGCCATAGAGATTAGATGAGTAGACGATGGGCACCTGGGAACAGAAGTCTAAAAGACTGGATCATCAGATCCAACCACTATCTCTCTCCTTTCTACCAAGATATGAATAAATGCTAAATTAACCAGAGGAGTGAAGCAAGAATCTGCATTACAACTGATACTTTTTTTCTGTTCCCATGCAGGTATACAAGAGGGCTAAGGCACTGGACCAGTCAGACAATGATATTTCTGCAGTCTACAGAGCCTACATTCACTAGAAAGGGGTGTGACCTATCCTCTGGACCACATAGTCTTTAATCCATTCTTATTTCTCCCTCATCATTTACTGTTTTTTTTTTTTTTTAATTTTAGTAATTTTATTTCATTCGTCCCCAGCGCCAGCTGTTACTTGCCCACAAGTCGCAGGATGTAATTCCTTTTTCAGAGGCAACAACCTTGAGCATTGTACTGACTGTACTGGGGAAATGTACGCTGTAAGGCCTGGGACACGCTGCCTGCATTACCTGTGCATGGCCGTCGTAGAACGTCTTGATTTTCATGTGAACAGGTTAGAGTGTCCACACAGCCTGCGTGAGACACAAGTCTGCAGCGCCACATCTAGTCTTGTTCATGCATCATGTGCACAGTTCCCAGCAAAGACAGACAGGGAAAAGATCCGTTGATAGTATTGACATCATACCAGCAACGTTACATAAAACAGACGTGTTTCACTATAGTGTCGATGTCTAGGCTGAATGTCCCAGACATGGAAACAATATACAGTAGTATTTTTTTTTTTTTTAGCCATTTTATCAACAGCATGTGGAGACAGTGGGGACCATGTGTACTGTATGGTCATAGCAGAAACCCAGTGCAGGGTATAGTTATATTGTGTCAATAATTTGGTGGCCAGTCACCGTGTGTGTGTGTGTGTGTGTGTGTGTGTGTGTGTGTGTGTGTGTGTGTGTGTGTGTGTGTGTGTGTGTGTGTGTGTGTGTGTGTGGCTTTGAATGAGGTGAAAAGAAATCAAATATTGAATTGATGGCGGCGGCGGCAGCAGCACACGCTGGGGGTGTGGACACAGTTCTGCGAGGTGGCTATCATGCAGGTGTAACACAGGCCGTGTGTCTCGGGCATAAAAGTTCTCCGGATGAGGTTGTAGCTCTGTACTGCTGCAGTTTCTGACAAGACAAAGAATAGTAGATGGGTGTCTGTGAGGATGTCAGGTCCAGTGCTCCTGTCAACAGCATGTTGTGTGACTCCAGATGAATTGCTGTCAGGTTTTGTGGATGCAGTAACCCTTAAGATTTTTTTTTTTTTTTGTTCATGTTCAAATGAAGAGTTTTATTTAATTGAGTGTGATATTTGCTTTTCTTTTTAAATGTCCAGAATTCCATGAGAGAACACCAAGAACATGCAACTGCATTGCCTTAATATTGTAACCCCTCAAGTCCTTTAATGATAGATGTATTTATTTATGTTTCTTTCCAGGTCTTCTTGGTGCAGTTTGTTCATGGCTTGTTTCTGTATTTCATGATGATGATGATGATGATGATGATGATGATGTTTCCTTTTACGTTGGTGTTAATGATCTTTCTTGAACAGGTTAAGGACAGAGCAACAGATGTGTTGAGGCCTTAAAATGCAGTAATAGTTGATGTTTCTCATGAAGACTTGAGATTTCCACATTTGAAACCCTTCATTTTTTTTGTTTGGAAGAGTTCTCACTTCTACTGTGTTTTTCTTTTTTAATACATTAACCTGCAACTAGATAAATCCACTGTATGAGTTGCATTTTAACTGAAGTTCATAATTAAGCCCCAGTGTCATGTTTTTTTTTTTTTTCTGGTAAGTTATAAAAACTTATGGGTGGGTTTTGATGCAAAGTTTAGAACCTCCATCTAAAATACTCAATTAAAAATCAAACTAATGAAGCAGGTTTTGTTAGTGGGGAGAAGACTGACACTGACAAACTGTAGAATAAATACAACGTCCTCAGCCCCACACGCACAACTCATTTCAGCTAAACTGTCATTACGTTTCCATATTGACTGAATGAACATGGGTGTGTTTTATTTTTTATTTCTTGCGTTGCCCCCAAAAAGAGTTGGAGGGGCAAGAGGTGGCCATGTGACAGTGGGGGCAGTCTTCACTAGACAGTAGAGGTCCTCACAAGTCCACTGGGATCTTAGTAAGCAAGACCTGATCCGGGTCTGGAACCTGACTGATGAATTGGCCAGCCGGTGTTATTGGCTGATAGACGCTCCTGACAGATTGATCGACATGTTGGATGTCAGTGCAGAGCTATTGGAGATCTGTTAGAGGTCAGTAACACTGAAATCTCCTGTTCACTATGCCACGATGCTTCAATTAACAAATTCAAGGGATTGTGATTAAACTATTTGTTTCATGTTGTTCAAAAGTGAAAAGTATTTATTTAATATATTTTACCACATTTTTTAACTCTCAAATGTTGATGCTGTACTGAGTCTGTTGTGCTCCACCTGGGCCCAGATGATTTTCTGATCTGGTCAGACAGGATGTTGTTCTGTTACTGAACGTCTCAGGTCCGTGGATCCAAGCAAACTCTTCTGATAAAATCATGACATGTTAATGTTTGTTAGTGCTGGAACAATGTTCTGCATCAGGTGTGATTATTCTCCAGTCTGTTCTAATCGGTCGTTCTTCTGAGTTCATTTATGCATGTCAGGTTTTCTGTGGGGGCCATTTTAGATGGGGCCAAAGTTTTGGACCTGTGAAGACCTCTACTAGGTGGCCTGACCCATACCTTACATAAGTATGCAGGTGCAGATGACAATGCCCAACATATGCAAAATAAACATGGCACAGTTTTGTTCACTCCCTGAGAACATGAACCACTTACGATGAACCCAGATCCTCAAACTGGGCTTGTCAAAGACCCGACAGGCACAAATCAAACAAGACCGCTTTAATGTGTCGGTGCCTATTGGAGCGCCTTTCACTCCACCAGTAAAATCTGCACATGGATGTGTGAATTGTAGCTCTGTGTGTGTTAGGGTACTGAACCATGTTCCTTTCTTGTCATGTTTGGCCAAATTCACATCAATGCTAATCTGTTCATGCAGAAATGAGTCATGATGGCAAATATATATTTTTGTTTCCTCGTGATTCTTATCAAATAAATAGAGAAAAATGTGTCTCAAAAACGAAGATGTCAATATTCAACCTCACTGTCAACATCTGGATTGTGACAGTGATTTAGACACGAGCAGTGTGAAGCCCTGCTGTAACTCATCAGAGTGTGCACTGTCAGACCCAAACCTGTAATCCCTCTGTTGCAGGAAAAACAACCTTGTGGTGTTCTGTTCTTTTACAGTTTTGATCAGTTGAAACTAAGTGAATGAGTTTCTCATAAAACACACATGAAACAGACTGACTTAGTTACATGTTAAGAATCCAGCACCACATTATCTGCCAAACAATGTTTCAGTTTTTACTTGGGTTACACGTCACGTTTAAACAAGTTCTTTTAGACGACAGATGTAAATAGCATATTAGGTTGAGAAGAGTTTCTTTTATATCTACAATAACCGAAATTAATGAAAACAACTTCTCTTGGTTTTGACTCTACAGAGCAACTGTCTAACATCTTTGTGTCTTAATACTGTAGATTGGTCAGTTCAAGTGTAAATGGTTTATTGATATGTGGCTTATATAATCTGTCTTATTATCACAATAAAATGACAATGACTTGGCTCCAGTTACAGAAAGGAGGATGTAACTTTGGTTTTGGGGATATATGATTTTGTGTACATGTGGAAATATCAAGACTTTTGTGCTGTTTAATAAATCCTCTCCTGATTACTGACATTCATGCATGTTTCATGACTGATCTGGTTTTATCAATCAATCGACTTTACAGAATAAAAGCAATAAAAAAAACAACCCCCACCCTTCACACTCACACATTTACACAGAACAGTAAATGACCATGTTATAAATAAAAACAATGAAAATAAGACTATAGGAACTGAGGAAACTATCATTTATCTCATAAATTTGCACTGAGGAAACAATGAAGACTGGAAGCAAAGATAACGATAGAGCGATTAAGATAAAATAAGAAAATACCGAAACAGAGGACATTAAAGTGAGTAAAACCAGAAATAAAAGTTAGGATATTAAAAATCAGATGGTTAATAGCCGAGGTTGCAGAGTTTTGAATGAGCTCAAGTCTCTGGTTTTTTTCAAGAGTCAGTAAGTGTGTTGAAGTAACCAAGATGGCTTGAAATGAAGGCATGAATCAATCTTTCAGCATTTTTTTGGTAAACTGGAACAATTTCAGCTTTATCCTTTGAGGGGCGTGTGAGCTGACTGTTGTCAGGCCTTGTGATGTACTTGGTCATTAGATGGAGTATTAGGGCCTCATTGAGGAAAAAAAGCATTCAGAAAATTTTGAGAATAGTCATAATATTACAAGGATAAAGTTGTAATTTTACAAGAAAAAGTCATAATATTTCGAGAATAAAGTTGTAATATTACGAGAATTAAAATTGTAAAATTTCAAGACAAAAAAACATACCTTTTAGGAATATTACAAGTGACCAACAAAATGGGTGAAAGGACAGTCAGTGGCAGCCTGAGCTGCTTCTGGCAGCTGCTGTTTGTCTGTCTAACAATAGAAAAGACTCAGTTTCTTCAACCTCTGCTAAAGTAGAACTTCACAGGATGCTCCACCTCCACATTCCTCATTTTAAAGCTTCTGATATTTCCTCTCTAAAACAACACAGAGTCTAAAACTATGACTTTATTATCATAATTTTATGACTTTTTCTTGAATTATCATGATTTTATTTTCTCAAAATGAAAACTTAATTCTCATAATATTATGACTTTATTCTTGAAATTTACGCTTTTTTTTCTTCAGTGTGGCCCTAATACTCTGTCGTATGGTCAACAGATGTAAACTTTGAGAATATTGGCTCTGAAGTGGAAAAGCGTCTGTTTTCCAGCATCTTTGAGGTGAGGCCTTTTCACCTGGAGGTAAGACCTTCCATATGTGGAGGTATGTAGAGTTAGGATACAGTGTAAATACTGGGACCCATTTTCAGTCCACCCCTTTTAGTTTATCTGTCCTCAAATCATCTGTCCTGGAGGACCTGTATCATGAGGCTGCTTATCAACTGACTCGGTCAATTGGGTATTCCCATCAGCTTGGTGTTAATTAGAAGCAACAGCCTTAGAACCATGCCTGAAGTGAGTAAGTTTGATTAAAGTGACATTCAACAAGGTGAATTCTAAAAAGTACAATCACATAACTAGAATATAACAAGCTGTAGAAACACTAGAAATAATTCCCACATATTAAGGTTAGGCTATAAGTGCAGGGATTATTATATGTCTTTAGTTTACAGTCAGGTATTTTACTTTTCTGTCTGATGATGAAGAAAGTAAAAGAAAGAGAAAGTACTTCATGTCTGATGAGTCACTCTGATTGAAATGTTCATTTATAAACATGGCATATATTTATCAGTGTGTGTATTATTTTTCTCATTTAATAGTTTTTTGGTGCAAGTTATCATCACAAAGTCTCGTCATGTTATTCTCAGCTGCAGTGATGAAACTGTGTGTGTGGACACTGTCAGGAATCCTGTTGAATTCAAATGCAAATGTAGCTGTTTTTGTCATTGTGTTTTTGATTATTGTGGCAGACTCTGTTTGTTAGAAGCTGTTTTAAAACTGGAAGGCCTGGACCAGCTAAATAATTCCACTGATCTATAAAAACATTTCTCTGCTGATGTGATTGGCCAGCAGGTTTTAATCTGATCCTCTGAAGTTAACCTGGTCTGGAGCAGGTGAGCCACGTAGCATGTGCCAGCTCTGTGGTTCATTCAACATGAGTCTGGATTTTTTTGTTCTTGAAAAGCTCTACATCAACAGATCATAATGCTTCTCATCTAAAATCATAACTATAGCAACATCCGTTCATCATAGTTTAAAGACAGGGAGCCATTGGAATCTGAAAATGATGGCATATCTAGTATTCACCCTAAAATGTCAGGTCATGATGTAAATGTCAAAAGGTGCACTTTTACAGGTTTGGGTTTTAAGGACTTATTGCCCTGACAACAGCTCCAGATGAAGTCTGACACCAGCTTCAAAGAAAACAAAGTCCAGACTCATGTCACATCATCAACATTCTAACCTGAATAACTTAGTTATTTATCTATGAAGAACAGGGCCAGTTAAATTGTCACATGGTATGCTTCTTCAGAATGGAACACCATCTAAATCAATATTAAATACATAAAGAAATAAATACAGTAATGAAATAAATCCTGAAATAAATAAAGTGGAAATATATGATAAAATATAAATTTATGAGTCAAAATAAAATAAATAAATAAATAAATAAATAACTATATAAATTAATAAATAAATGAATAGCTTTTTATTTAAAAAATGACATTTTTATTTATTTCAGGAGACTTTACCTTTATAATTATATTCTTTGGGTAAGCTTGTTCAGTGTGTGATTCAGTGCTGTTCTGGTGCTGTTGCTTTGGTATGAATCTGTGCGATAACCACGCAGCCTCATTTGAATATAACATATGGAAATATAAAGAGCCTAAATGTGGCATTAAGAAAAAAATGTCTCCGTAAATAAATAAATGTGGAGTTTTAAAATAAAAGTCTCTTGAAATAGATGAAAATGTCATTTTTAAAATAAAAATCTTTTATTTATTCATTCATTCATTTGTATAGCTATTTATGTGTTATTTACTCACTTACATATTTATGTTTACATTTATTTATATATTTCTACATGCCTTACCTAATTTATTTATTTCGAGATTTGTTTCATAGCTGTATTTATTTATTTATTTAATATTCTGTGCAGTGTCAGTTATTAGGAAGAAACCTCAACTTAGACCTCATCACAAAAGTCAACATCTGGAGTCTGCAAAGCAACATCTGGATAAGCCAGAGTGATTTTGGAAACAAGTGCTGTGGACAAATCTTTGGGCACAATCACAAAAGTGTGTTTGATGAAAAGAACATCAGCTGTTCAGCGTGGTGGTCGAAGGTAATATCAATGTTTACTAGGCAGCGGGAAGGTAATACAATCATGCTTTCTTAGTAAAGGAGGCCAGAGGAAGAAGGTTTTCCCGTCATGCTTAGGGTATGATTAAGACATAATGTTCTGTTCTGTTGTAAAAGCTTCACACGGTACCACGGTGTTTTGAGAAAAGACAGCTGAAATATGAAGAGTTCAGATTGAGCAGATGTTCTATTTTCGATGACCAAGTGTCTTAACATTTTCAATTTCACCTGAATGCAGCACAGCGCCGTTCGCTTGTGTGACACAGCCCTGTTGTGTGACGCTGGGCGGAAGTTTTATTCCCAAATAAAACGCCTCTTATGAACGAGTGGGCGGGTCCAATTTAATAGTGAATGTGTGACCAACCTAATGCTGCATTCAGGTGCTTCTCGTAAAGACCAAAACACATTCCCTTCGTCGTGGTTTGGTTGGAATTAATAACTAAATCCATCAATCAGCATAAATATATTTCATTTAAGGATGTTTCTCCTTCTAATACAGAGAGCACGCGGCTGTTTGATGCCCGTATGGCAGCATGAAGACGTCAAACTGCGCGTGCAGCTCAATGAAAGGTTAAAAATCAAAGACGAAACCATACACAGCTGAAAAATATATATTTTTCTTTATTGATGCTCCCTATCACTTACATTTTACATTCCAGCAGCTCGAGTCGTCATCTAAAAGGTCTTTTGTCCTTTGTATTTAACGCTGACTTAAGTCGTTCATTTCGAGGCTTTCAATATTCCCGACAACCCGTGAAGGCAGCAGATCTTCCGCTAAGCTACTGAGTAGTGAGAAACCTTCATCCCGAGGAGAGGACAGTGTTTTATACGGTGGTAGTCGAGGCTGTGCTTCTGTTCTTTGCAAAACATGCTGAACCCGCAGAGGTCTCTGTCCGAGCTGCCCAAGATGTCCGCTGCCAGTCAGGTGGAGAGAGCCGTGCTGGTGAGCTTCTGCCTCCGTCTGCTGCTCCGCCACAGGGCAGAGAAACACAGCGGCTCTACGGCTGTGTGGCTAGCTGGTTTACTAAGTGACCCGTCGGTTAATGTGACATGTTTTCATATTTATAATTGATATTTTTAAAGAGTGCTGGACATGACGGAGTGTGTAGCCTGTGTAGCTGTGTAGCTGCTGTTAGCCGAGAGGGACATCCTACAGTGCAGGTGCTGCAGCAGGGCTCCCGCTGTCAGTCACTTTGCTGTGATGTTGTGGTGGGCCTGTGTGTGTGTGTGTGTGTGTGTGTGTGTGTGTGTGTGTGTGTGTGTGTGTGTGTGTGTGTGTGTGTGTGTGTGTGTGTGTGTGTGTGTGTGTGTGTGTGTGTGAGACCGTGAAGATGACCATGACCATATAACTGATATATAACTAACATCTCCCTCAGCTCAGTCTCTGGGTGAGAGCTTCTTTTGTTTACCCTCAACTCCATATGTTTGCATATATTAGCACATTAACTGCAAATCACACGCAGCAGTTATGTAGGGGAGACTGGGGACTGGTTGCAACACTTGCTGCATTTCTCTCAGTCACTCAGAGAGTATTTGGACTAGACCAACCAACTTTTATATATTAATCTCACATCTGTCTGCTAATGACCCATACCATTTAAACATGATTACATATGACTTATTATTCACAATATTTATTTGAATGGAAGAATTCAGATGTTGCAACAGAACCCAACCCTGGGGACAGTTGCAACATGGATCACATTAAAAAGAATACATTAAATTTCAGTAATTAACTTTTGTTTTTTGTCTCGATAAGCATAGTACTTTGAAAATATGCATTGCTTGACAACAATATTGTAGTATTATTTATTTATACAATAATCGAAGAAAAGTTATTGAGGTTTGTTTTGTGTAGAACATAAAACCAAACTTGAATCAAAATATGCACAATTTATTTATTCTATTGCTTATGATGAACAGAACAGGTAAATATATTATAAGACCATCAGAGGCTAACAAAATAATTCCCAAAATAACTTTCTCTTATGCATTAAAATGAGCAATTAATGTTGTTCTGTTCTATGGGACAAAATTAGCTGCATATTTTGACTATTGAACTAAAATGTTGAAACACATTGTTGTGTGGTCTGTTGTGATTTGGCTGCTCATCTTAAGGACCATTACAATAACTTGTTGCAACCGTCTCCACCCTGTCAGCCATGACAGAACAACATGTGCTGGCTAAACACAACTGTATTGACGCATACTAACCCTGTCACTTAGAAGTCAATAAAACAACGATTCTGACTAAGTAAGTTTTGATTAAATCAGACAAAAGTTTAGGACAGTTTGACAAAAATACAGCTCATGAAAATATTACTTTTATTCTCCAAGACAAGTTTTTTCAATAAATGCAGCAGCAGATGTTGAATGTGTCTTCTGTGCTCCTGGTGAGGGGAGGGTCTAACTGAGATTATGCAGTATGAGTGTCATCACTGTAGCATGTTTCTGATTGGAGAAATAAGACTTGTAGCAACCGTCCCCAGTCCCCCTAACTTCATCTAGACTAAAAGCAAACATGATATTCACTGTGTCTGAAAGGGATCACCTGTAAACCAGTGGCTAAAAACTTCATGAAGACATGTGCAGTGGATAAACGCTTCTTAGTGATGCGACTTTGGCATGAGACAAATAAAACTTGGAACTGCTGTTTAGTGGTAACATCACTTATAGCATGAAATACAATAATATATATTATAGAAAAAAACTGAAACATAAAATACAACAATATAATAGGATAATATCGTATATCGTGATATTTGGACTGGACTGTATTGTGATATTACATTTTGGATAACCTAAGCCTGAGAAGACCAGAAAACATTCAAATCAGATTAAAAGACTAAAACCAGAGAATTTCTATATATTTTCTTTAAAATGACTCGAAACGATAAATCTATGATCAAAATATTTGTATTTTTCTGTCAATTGACTGAAAGGTGCAGCATTTCTTAAACAGCACACTGCTCAATCTTATGCACATGATGCATTATGTTTCATATTTGCCCTTTTTGAATGTTCTTAGTATTTACCAGTAGAGACCCCAAGTGTTCAATATGAAATTAATATTTAAGACCTTATAAAACAAATAATTATTTGGCTAAAGACAGATGAATTAATTGCCCGTGAAAGTTTGAGATACTCCCATACAATTTTTAAAAGTCAGTGTAGTGGCTATTTGTCTGCCAAACAAATTTAAGACCAACATAAAAATCAAAAGGCCACTGATGCACCATGGACCATGTGGTTTATGCAATCAAAAGAATCCATTGTCCAAACACAGCCAATGTGTTTTTAATTTTTGATTTATTCATCCAAACAAGCACCAAACTAAGGAAGAAAGGGATCATGTTTCCTCCTGCCTCTCCTGCTCTGGTAAAAAAAAAAAACATAAGCCCACCCAGGTGCATGAAAAAATCTATGTACTGTATTGAAAACTGAGCATGAGAGCCTCTGCGTTTACTGCAGGACTGCTGTATTATACTGTATCCGTTTTAGCTAGGTGTACCTATTAAACTGGCACCTGTATATATTTCTAGAATAAAGTGAGGTGCAAAGTACAAATGACAGCAGCACATGATTGAAAGTCTTGGGTACAAATTACAAGCTATGAAAAGGCTGTGCAGACAGGTACACCTATGTTGCAACTGTTCCACTTCAGCATTATAGAGTGGAATGAACTGTGTTATGGGCACATGGCACAGTGAGAGGTGTTGTCTACAATGCTCCTCCACAGGAAAAGCTCCTCTGAAATTTTAAATTGTTGTTTTGTATTTGTTTTGTTGTTATTTATCATGTTGCAGTCAAATCTTAATTGTATCTGTTTGGTAGGAGGAGGAATTCAACTGGCTGCTGAAAGAAGAAGTGCACGCTGTCCTGAAGCAGCTCCAGGATGTACTTAAGGTAAACTTTTAGATGTCATAGATACAGCTATATTTAGGGCTGGCTGATGTTGTTGACATCATTGTCACAATTTTAAATTTTGACCCTCAGTTTTATTGGAGTGCATCAAGCTGGATATGCCTGATAAAGCAAATGTATGTAAAAGCACTTATAAAATAGATAAACAAAGGGATGTTTTTGTAGGGCTGCCCCCTAACAGTTGACCAAAGGTTAGTCAATAAGTTGATCAAGTTTTGATTGGTCAGTGGTCAAAGGGAGAAAAATCAAACTCCACAGTAACTGGTCACATGCAGTCGGTCAGTGACGGACAGACGCCTAGGGTTTATCTAAGTGGACATATGTAGTAATAAAATAATAAACCAGACATAGAGACATAAGTACAAAAAATAGCAGCAACAATTTATTTTTATTCCTCTGCGCCGGTGTCAGTCAGAGCCGGAGGCATATTGTTTTCAGGTTGTCCACAATAGCTCAGTAAAACCTTGACGTAACTTTTTCAAATTTGGCTCAACATTCACTACNTAAACCGTTCAACTATCGAAAGTTTCACCTTCTTAAGGAAATCTATCCTTACCTACAGCTTTGCAATATTATTCATAATTTTTTAAAAATAATACATTTTTTTCTGCATTTTTTTATAGTGTAAGTGAATGGAGACNTAAACAAAGGGATGTTTTTGTAGGGCTGCCCCCTAACAGTTGACCAAAGGTTAGTCAATAAGTTGATCAAGTTTTGATTGGTCAGTGGTCAAAGGGAGAAAAATCAAACTCCACAGTAACTGGTCACATGCAGTCGGTCAGTGACGGACAGACGCCTAGGGTTTATCTAAGTGGACATATGTAGTAATAAAATAATAAACCAGACATAGAGACATAAGTACAAAAAATAGCAGCAACAATTTATTTTTATTCCTCTGCGCCGGTGTCAGTCAGAGCCGGAGGCATATTGTTTTCAGGTTGTCCACAATAGCTCAGTAAAACCTTGACGTAACTTTTTCAAATTTGGCTCAACATTCACTACGACTCAAGGATGAACTGATTAGATTTGGGGGGTCAAAGGTCAAGGTCAGAGTGATATCACTAAATAATTTTTAGCTATTACTCAACACTTCACACAGTAACTGACAAAATTTCACAAGTGGGACTCACAACAGCTGACAACAACTCAAGCCTTGCAGCCCTACAGCAACTCTCAGCGGACATACTGCCTCAAATATCAAAAATCTGAGGAAATCCAAAGTGTGATCACTAAAGCAGGATCCCAGTTCTCGTGACATGCAAACTCTGCACGCAAACATTAGCATATTTTTATCCACCTCAAACGATGCTTGTCACATGTAAGTATAGCCTAAAGTTAGCCACTTAGCTCTAACTCTAGCTAACTCCTTGCTGGTTGTGGCCAGCATTTTCTGATGCCTATATATTTAAGTAATTAAATTAATCTCATAAACATATGACGGCTAGTTGACTATTGGCTTGAACTAATGACTACTGGTGGACAAGGATAATCTTTTGGTGGGCGTAGCCCTGTGTTAAATGCAGTGAACTTTGTACAACTGTTGTGCATTTTGATGAAACATTTGACAAATTTGTCCTGTTTCATATAAAGTGGCTACATTAGCACAGAGACTAACAGAGTTTAAACTGTCAGCCTCAAACTGATGGGAGTACCCTCCAACTTTCACATTTCTGGAGAAAAGCAGAACTGACCCTTTTTTTGTAACTCACTCATATTTCCACATTTTTGGCTCTGGGAACACCAAAACCACATAGAGGTGTTCAGGAGAGTCTTGTGGCACTGGCCATGTGATACTTTTGCTGATATTATGTACCGTTTTGTATTAAATGTCAAGAGTGTGAGAGGTTTGCTGACCCCTTTTTCCCATAGATTTGTATGAGTTCTGTGTCTTCAACAGAAACATATATACAGACAAGCAGAGAGGCACACAGACACACACACACACACACACACACACACACACACACACACACACACACACACACACACACACACACACACACACACACAAATAGACACAAGCACAGACAGAAAGCTGTAGTTGTAATTAGTCATAGAGGGAGATACCATTACCTTACCTTCAACTTTTTGATATTATTCATAATTTTTTTTTCTACATCTTTGAAATTCAACTACTTGAGCATACTTTCAGCTACAGGCTTCATTCAAACTTTAAAGTGTTCACAACACTTCCAGCTATTAAACGATTATTTAGCTTATTGATCTTAAATTAAAGTTTCTACTAGTTATCATTTTTAAGGCATTTTATCCCTACTTCCACCTATGGTAGCAGCTAATGGACTCCAGCTCCTCCGGTTTAACATTTTGGCACCTAATTTTTTAAAGCACTGTACTTTAGTTAATATGAGCTGCTTTTTCAACAATTTTAGCATTGTGTCAGAATCTCCTTCAGGTGTGACATTAAAAGTTTTGCTTGTACATGTCTTCTTTCTTAGGTTTTTTCAGCCAATTTAGGCCATTTAGCTTCCAACAACAACTTTTTTTCAACCATTTCATACAATTCAACCTCCAGCTTACAATTTCTGCTTTTAATCATCATTGCTTGAGCTAATTTATTGCTTCAGCAACTTTAGCATTCCTTCAGCAGTTGCTCAGCACTCAGCATTCACACGCATTTTCAGCAGGAAATGCATTTTCTAGTTTCAGTTTGTCAGTCTAACTGACACAGAAACACAAATAAATACTGACAAGCAGAGAGGCACACAAACAAATAAACAAGCAGACGGACACAGAAAGGTAAACAAGTGGACAGACAGTCAGATAGATGGTTAGTACTCAGAGGGAGATAACAGTTCAGACTGGACAGAACAACAGGAAATGCAGCAGCAGACATACTGAATTTAACATGCTCAACTGGTGTTATACTCCTGATCCTCCTTTTACTTTCCCTCGTTTGTTAACTACTCTTGCATACTTTGTGCTACATAAACCAATCAAAACCCTTTTTTGTAACTCGCTCCTATTTCCACATTTTTGGCTCTAGAAACACCAAAACCAAATAGAGGTGTTCAGGAGAGTCTTGTGGCACTGACCATGTGATAATTTTGCTGATATTATGTACCGTTTTGTTTAAATGGCAGGAGTTTGAGAGGTTTGCTGATCCCTTTCTTGCATAGATTTGAATGAGCTCTGTGTCTTCAACAGCCAGGTGGCCAACAGGTGGATAGGTATACAGACAGACAGGTTGATGGACACAGTTTCATTCAGGAAACATTTGGCTGTTTATTTAACTTTGAAATCTAACTGACTCCACATTACATATATTCTATTTGGTGGATTACTTTTGGAGCTCATTGTGATTGTTGGATTACCTTTAACCAGTGTTTTCCAGGTGCTACCTTTTTCAAAGAGAACGACAGGTGGGCACCCAGTGAGACAGCATTGTCACCATCTGGGTCAAATTACCTGATTAGAGACTCTTCTGAGATCTGTGGTGTTTATCAACCAATTTACCGATATTTCTGCAATGATTTACAACCTTCTCAACTGGTTTAACTGAAAATATGTTTCAGTCCAGTTGTAATCAGGAAGCATTTGGCAGTTAATTTCAGTTTGTCATTCTAACTGACACAGAAACACACAGAGAGAGCAGAGAGGTACACAGACAAGCAGATAGATATACACACACACACAGACACACACATACACTTACACACACACGAACCGGAGACACATTGAAGACATATTGAATTTAACCTGCTGCACTGGTGGTATACTCCAGATCCTCCTTTTACTTTACTTGGGTTGTTAACTACTCCTGCATACTTTGTGTTATATAAACCGTTCAACTATCGAAAGTTTCACCTTCTTAAGGAAGTCTATCCTTACCTACAGCTTTGTAATATTATTCATAATTTTAAAAATTTAAAAATAATACGTTTTTTTCTGCAATTTTTTATAGTGTAAGTGAATGGAGATGATTTTCAAATCGTTTAAAACTTCTACGTCTTTTAAATTCATCTACTTGAGCATACTTTCAGCTAAAGGCTTCATCCAAAACTCATGAGATGTTTCTATGTAATAGTTAAATCCCAAACTTCTATCCTCTTTGAAATGTAACATGTAGACTTTAAGATTATGTCCTTCATGTGACCATTCTGTCAGCATCCTTCACACAAGGTAACATACACTACATGACATCCAGACACAGGTTGAACATGCACTAGACCCCCTACAGTTCTGCTGCAGTCTGCTGGGGCAGCAGCATGTCCGACATTAACACAAAGAGACTGGACAAACTGGTAAAAAAGGCTGAGTCTGTGCTTGGCAAGGAGTCTGGACTCACTCAGGACTGTTGTGGAGAGCCGCATGCAATGTAAGATGGAGGCCATCTCGGACAATACCAACCATCCTCTCCACAACATTCTGGCAGGACAGAGAAGCAGCTACAGCTGCAGCAAACGTCTCATCTCACTGCGCTGCAGAACAGAGAGGTTCAGGAGATTCTTTGTTCCCACTTCCATGTATACCAAAGGAAGTGGACTAATCTAATTATTATTTTTTATTTATTATCAACTGTTATTATTATCGTCAATGATTTAATGGACACATGAATTTCCCCTGGGGGATAAATAAAGTATCTATCTATCTGTCTATCTATCTATCTATCTATCTATCTATTGCTGTTACTGCCGTTACTATTACTATTATTAATTTTGCTATAATTGCACATTCTTGTTCTTTTTCTCCACGCTCTCTCTTGCTCTCTCTCTCTCTCTCTATCTGTCCAACCCAACAAGTCGAGCCAGATGGCCGCCCACCCTGAGTCCGGTTCTGCTTGAGGTTTCTGCCTCTTAAAAGAAAGTCTTTCCTTGCCATTATTGCCTAGTGCTTTGTCTTGGTGGGAATTGTTAGGCCTCTGTGAATAATTTTATAAAGAGAAGGTCTAGACCTGCCCTATTTGGAAAGTGCCTTGAGATAACTTGTAAATTGGCGCTATACAAATAAAAATTGACTTGATTTGACTTGACTAACAGGAGCTAACTGCAAACTGTAACTGCCATCCCTGAAAATTTTCATCAAAAAAAGTCTTACAAGCTCTTTTAAATCCCACAGTTTCCAACCTTCATTGACAATTTTTATATCAAAAATGTAGAGATTTTTTTTTTGTCCTGCATCACCCAGTTTTGGTCTCATGCTGACATCTTTTATGGTTTTTGAGGAAGTGATGGGAGTACCCTCCACCTCTCCCATTGACTGCAATACAAATTCAGTAGCAGGTGTTGCTGGGCAGAAATGGTCATATCTGATTCTGATTGGCTTAAACTCATTAATTCGTATAATTTTAATTTAGGTATGAGACTAATTGTAAGATAAATTAACACGGTGTATTTACATGTATATGCGTATACTTCTGTGTGCTTATTGATGTGTGCAGTGGTTCTTTGTGTGTGTGTACATGTCTTACTATAATTGTGAGGACAATTTTGGTTAAAAAACCATTATTCTGAGGTCATTTGGTCGGTCCTGACAACTTCAAAGGGCTTTTGAAGGTTAAGCTTATACACATTGAATGACACACAAATTCCAAAAACCACAATAAGTATTAAACTGTATAAGTGTCTCAATGGTAACACAAGCTTTTCGGAGGCTCTACAGTAGACAGCCCTACTGGCACACACAACAATACACACACACATATTGACAGACACACACACAAACACCATCTTACTTTTTTGATATTCACCTTCAAAATAAGAGTCTTAACCGGTTAAAAAGAATTTACTGGAGGTTCTGTTGTGCAGCTCTACTGCTACACACACACACGTTGACAAACACATAAACAAGCATCTCCACGATTTGGATTAACCTTCAAAATAAAAGTCTCAACATGGTTAGAGGAATTTATTCTGTTGTACAAAAACCTACTGCCAAACACAGAATACAGACACTTTTATTAAAATGAACTTCAAAAAGAGTATAGAGTAAGAGATCGTCAAATCTCGTTAAAGCCATCGTCTGTCTATATGGATATAGTGACATAGCTTTATTTTGCAGACCAACTTTTGTTAGGGCATGTACATGTGTGTATACATGTCTTGCTATGGTTGTAGGGGGGAAAATTTTATCTCTCTCTTTTTT